TTATGGTTTTAACTCTTATTTTCAGGCCAATAATCTATTGTGAATTAATTTTTATAAAAGGTAGGGTCATAGTTCCTTTTTTGGTATAAGAATATGCAATTGTCCAGAACTATTTGTTGAAAGACACTGGCTCCCTCCTCTTCATGTAACTGTAGAAAAACATTTGATGAGACATGTAAACATCTCTGAAAAGTGGAAAACTCATAGAAATCTAAGTCACCATCATCATTAGTCAGTTCTCAGTAGGCCAGGAGTCAGAGAACCTGACTTGTGGTACACACCCCCCTCTTTTATTAGCCTTTAAAATATCTTTTAACCTCAGAGCTTATTCCCTCATCCATAAAACAAGAATAGCAATATCTGACTATTCTACTTTAGAGGAATTTTACATAGATTATGCATTTTTTAAAATATATTTTATTGATTTTTTACAGAGAGGAAGGGGGAGGGTTAGAAACATCAATGAGAGAGAAACATTGATTAGCTGCCTCCTGCACACCCCCTACTGGGGATGTGCCCGCAACCAAGGTACATGCCCTTGACCGGAATCGAACCCGGGACACTTCAGTCTGCAGGCCGACGCTCTATCCACTAAGCCAAACCAGTTAGGGCTAGATTATGCATTTTTAAAGTGCTTCATAACTTGTAAAGTGCTACAGAAATGCAAGATATTGTCTTTACACATGAAGATCCCTGGACAACATGATGAGGCCCATTCTCACTTTTCAGGAACATAAGTGACTGCAAGCTGAAGCTGTGCAAGAAAATGCTAATAATCAAGGGTACAAATTATGACTGCCTTCTGAATGTTAACATTAGAAACCCTTTTACTGTTGGTTATAAATGTAAGGGAAGTGGAAAAACAGCAATAATAATTATTTAGAACACTGGAATTTAAAACATTAGAAAGATTGAAAATCAGAGCAATTATTTTGTAAAAAAAAAAAAAAAAACTTATCAAGAGTAATTTGAACAGTGTTTGCCTCTTCTTTTTGTCACATGACTAAAAGCTGACTGAGCATCCCTAACCCTCGTGACCTGCCACACTGCGTCCCAGGCAGATCACATCCCCACTTCATCCTCTGCACTTACGCTGCTGTGGAGCAGCACCGAGAGCACCTTTAATGTGAAGCTGTTTGCCAGCATCACTTCCTCTAGGACACGCCCATCTTTCCTGTCACACTTTCCTCATTTATGCCAATGAACTCCTCTAGACAAGTTCCTCTGGCTTCATATCTGGGCTGTCTTCAGTAGTGGCCATGTCAGCCTTTTCCTGGTCAGCCATTTCTTCTGTAACTATTTCTGTTCTATTAGAATTTTACTGCCAGAATTACCACTTTTCCTTTTTCTGCCTCAGTGTCATCTTTGTTGGTCAATGTCGTCTTTTGATTATCCATATCCAGTAAAATGTTATGTCGGTTTATCACTGAAAGATGAGGAGGCAACACAACCACATGCTTTGCTGTCTGTGCATGAACTGAGTGACCAGCACACAGTGACCAACTACTGACATATTTAACCCTTTGCACTCTGAACCATTCTGGACATTGGCTACCAGCTACTCGACGCTACTTTGCAGCGGAAACGTGCATTTACAGACCCTCGTATTATTTAGTATAATTTTGGAACCAAGTAACGTATTATAATGATATTGGACTTATATGAATTGGGTGACATCGAGGAATGTATATTTGCAAAAAAAACAATATTTTATTGTTTATAATTTTGTACAGTATGATAAGTTTTGTAACACTCCCCAATATGCATTGCAGGCTGATTAGTGCATGTTTGACAGTAATAAGTGGTTTGACGCCTGCCACCAGGTGTTTTCCTGTTAGAACACACAATGCAGTCCCGTTTTCTTTGTCCCACATCGGGAATATGTAGTTTATTGTTTAATCCGACACAAAACCCGCTGACATTTCTTGTATATATCTTAGTAATTTTACGATATTTTGATTTAATTTCTTGTGCCATTTCAAGATAAAACTTCAGGGAAACATGCATGTCTCAAAAAGTTGCGTTGAAGTAACTCAATTCCCTGTAATCACTAATAAACTGCAATGTCCCCTGAGAGGGGACATCTGAGTGATATGCTAGAATTCCGATGTCCCCTGAGAGGGGACAGCGGAGTGCAAAGGGTTAAAAGACGTGACATGAGTCCTGGCCTGATGGCTCAGTTGGTTGGAGCATCATCCCATTCACCAAAAGGTTGTAGGTTTGATTCCTGGTCAGGACACATACCTAAGGTTTCGGATTGGATCCCCAGTCATGGCCTGTACGGGAGGCCACCGATCAATGTCTCTCTCTCTCACACTGATGTCTCTCTCTCTCTCTCTCTCTCTCTCTCTCTCTCTCTCTCTCTTTCCCTCTCTTTCTAAAAATCAATAAAAAAAATTTTATCATAAAAGAAGTGGCATGATTGGTCACTGATCAGGATGTGCATCTGTACTCACATAGTGATCTGTGGACAGGAGAGGTAGAAGTGAAGTTTACACCTTAGGCAATTATTCATAGTTAATATAGTGACACTACTGAAATTTGAATCATGCTTTTGAGGGGTGGTTGTTACCTAATGAAACACATTAACTGAAATTTGTGCATCTTGGAGCCACGCAAAGCGAGGACTGTCTTCACTTGCAGTGTCCCAGGATGCATGAGTTCCCCATTTAGTGGTCTCAGCATTTGAAGAGAAAGGAAGATGTTATTTCTGTGGCTTTCTTCATGTAATTCTTCATGGACCTTTTCTGTTACTTCCAAAAATTATGGTGAAGAAATCAAAAATACTTTGTATGATTGTCACTGTTAGGTCTGATCAAATAATTGAATCGATATCCCTTGGGAACTGACCTTTAGGCCACTTCACAAGGGACATTCTCTTTCGCTTAGACCGCATTCCATTTCACTAAGACCTTAGCCTTCCCCTCCAGACCTTCCTAGGATCCAGGCCTGTTCAGAGAATGCTCTGCCAAGCAGAAGCTCACCTCGAGTTCTTTACAATCTCTGACTCCCCAACCCTGGGTGCTGGCACCATTTGGGGGCTCAGCCCATCTGGTTTTCCAGATGACCTAATACAGTCATAACTCTTTACCCCTTTTGGCCTTGTGCATTCCTCCTTCGGCAACCCTAACAGTCACTTAAGTGAGTTTATTTTAAATTAAGTTACACTGTGGTAAGAGACAGATAAATCAGTGAACTTCAAAATAGAACTTAATTGAATAACACCTGATTTCCTTTTCAGAAAAAGTAAAAAACTTGTAAATAATTTTCCTTAGTTTTAATCATTTCACTTCACTATTTCATATCTTTGCATCTCTTTAGTTGTCACTCTTCTTGTACCCAGAATAAAAGTTCAGCCAGATCAAATGTTAAATGTACCCCTATCCCATGATGCGTTTCTGCTAAGCTCCTGAGGCTCATTTAGGCCTGCGTGCACTCAGTGTGCTTGGGTTAATGGCATGTTTAGGGCAGAAATTATAACACTGAACCTCTAACTTCTCAGAGTAACACCAAATTGTTGGCATTATCTCTTAAACTGTCTAATAATGGTTCATCATCCTGATTTCAGAAATAGTCATCAATGCACTCTGCACTATCCTTATAGAAGATAGAATAAATTATTTTTACTAACTTGGGAAGGTTATTACTTTTATAATCATAAAGTTATTTGAGATCTGAATGAATCAACTAAACATGAAGATATTTATTCAAGGTGGCAGCTGCTGTGTTCTACTCTGATTTTTATAATAACCACCTCAGGCCTAGTGACAGAAACAAGAACATAAATAGTTAATTAAATCACAGTTTGGTAAGTGGGGGAGGGTAGTCACAAGATGGTAGAGACTTTTGGAAAATACCAAACCTAGCTTTGAGGAAAACAAGAAAGGTCTGGCCGGGCTAGCTCTGAAAGACTGCAGGAATTACCTCAGCAAAGAAGAAGAGATGGTTCTTACAAGAACCGCAGGTGCAGAGGCCTGGAGACAAGAGAAGGAGAATGATGAATTCCAGAAACCAGAAGAAGTTCCATGGGAGAGCTGAGGCTAGAGAGGTAACAACTCTGCCATGACAGGAACAGAGAGGCCAAGCGGTCTTAAAAAGGAGAGTTTTTCCTGTTCTGATCTGCATTTCAGGAAAACCATTTCTGGAGTTACTGTGAATAGATAGAGTGGGGGCAGTGCAGATAAGACCAGCTGGGATGCAGCGGGCTCACTGGAAGCCAGCAGCAGAGATGGGAGAGGATTCTAGAGGTATTAACCAGGTAGAATCAAAAGAGCGCTGTGACTACTTTTGGATATTGCAGGTGACTTGGAATTTTCTGCTCTGACAGCTTGGTGGTTGCATTAAATAAGATATATAATAAAGGAAGATCAAATTAAAAGGAAATATGGTAATTTAATTTAAAAACTATTGACTTTTAAAGGAATGTAAGGCATAGAATGAGCTGGCCTCTGTGTGTTTTTCTGCTCTTTGCATGGCCTGAGACAGATAAATCCTGTGAGGAACCAGCCGGGTGGGGAGGGAAGTGGCACTACATTCAATCAGCAAAGGGAAGCAATGTGTAGGGCCCTTTGGAGACAAAGGGCAGCCTCCTATTGGCAACTTTATTGTCCAGGACTAAGACTGTAAATAGCACCATCTATTTGTGTGTCTGAACAAAATGGCTAGGGAGCTGGTCAGGGCTTCTTGTACCAAAAGTGACAGATGTCTTAAACTATTAGACTATGTTTTAGCTGGTTCATGTCCTGAAAAATAACAATAAAGGCATAAGAACAGGTTGAAGGACTTCTGTGAATAACCCTGTGGCTGTGGCTGAAAGAAGTACCTGGATTGAAAGACTTAAACTTTAGCATGTGCTTGCATATCCAAAACATATACCCAGGCCACCGACTGCTCACTCCTCATTATGGCCACAGATCAAAATGCCTAAAAGCCATACAACCCACTTTTTATTTTTTTCCCAAATGTAAACAGGAAAATAATCAAAAGCATTTTTAGCTCACATGGAAGGATGTCTCGATATCTGTTTTTGTCTCTGTTGCATGATTCATTCCCACAGTTGAACTCATAATTCATATTCTTATTGTCCAAAGCCTTTGGAGGTAAGAAATATAAGTCATGTATTTGCTATAACAAAAAACATCTGCCTTTGTCTACTGTTCATGATCCTAAACACTCTATATGACATGACTTGATATTAATGTGTTGTATGAATAATGGAAAAATCAAATCCCCTTTTAAAAGTACTATATGAAATATCTCAAACTTCAGATATCAATAAACAAGTGGCTTGATAAGGAAATGTTAAACCCTTAGAGATTCTTCTTTTGCTACAACTTCAATAACTTTTAATTTTTCTTTAAAAAAAGGAAATATAGAATAATCACTTCTTAGGATCTACCCCAAATCTATCATTTTATAGACAAAAATAACAGCAAAAAATATATATAAGCATATAAACAAAAAATATAAATAGTCTCACAATTTACTACTTGCCCCACAAAGAAATTACAGCTGGGACACTAATTAGAGAATTCTTCCTATCAAAATAATTTATTTACCAAGTATAAATCTAACAAACATTTATTGTACATTTAGAATGTATTTGTACTGTTCTAAACTTTAGAGTACAAAGATGAATCTGAATGTGAATATGGCTTCATCCTACATGAGTTACAGGAGAAGTTTAAGTGGCGGACATGTGAACATATACAAAGACACCAGTATGACTGACAGCACTAGACATTACCTGAAGGTATGGGGTTGGTTGGTAAGACATACAACATGTACAAATACACCAGTATGAATGAAACCACTGGACTCTACCTGAAGGTATTCGATTGGAGGGCAGACATGCGAACAAGTACAAAGACACCAATTTGACTGATAGCACTAGACTTTATCTGAAGATATGGGGCTAGAGGGGTGCACACGTGAACATGTATAGCAACACTGGAATAAATGACAGCACTAGATCATACCTGAAGGTATGGAAGGAAAGCTCTATAAAGTAATGAGGACTTGAACTGAGCTTTCCTAAGTCATTAGAAGTTACTCACATGAAAGTCTGTGTGTGTGTGTGTGTGTGTGTGTGTGTGTGTGTGTGTATCATTCCAGGTAGGAGGACAAGAATAACAAAATTGAGGTATATATGTCCTCTCAGGGAAATAGTGGGTAGTACCCAACATGAGCACAGAGCACATGATGTAGCCCAATGGGAAACTGAAACTACCTGGAAGGCCTTGTTTCATTACAAAAGAAATCAAGATATAGCTAGTCATTTTCTATTAGAATATTGGTGGATAAAACCTATACTTTCAAAAGCTTTTCAGTAACTCCTGGGTGGCCAACTTGGCACCACCAGTCCTTAAATAGGTGTTGGCAACTCCTGCCATGGGTAATGAGGCACAGTGAAGGTGTTAATCAGTAGGATAATATAATCAGATAATCTTTTTAATCTTTTTTGCAAACCAATTTTAAAATTAACGTAGAAAAAAATCTGTAGGAAGAACCAGAGCAATTTTGTAAAATAAGAGCAATGAGGAAAGACTAGTCTTAATAGATGGTAAAAATACTATCTAGCCATGCTAATTAAAGGAGTGGAGAACTCATGGATAAAGACAAAATAGTGTGGTGATTGCAGGGCATAGAGAGGATACATAGTGATGGGAAAAATAAAAATAAATAAATAAAAGAGTTTGATACCAGTACATGAATAGACAAATCACTGGAAAAAGTCCAAGAATAAATTAAAGTGCATGTGGGGCTTCAGTATATGCTAAAGGTGGCATTTTATATCACTGAAGAGAAGTTTCCACACAATCCTGAGATACCTGGATAGCTATATAATGCTGGGTGCCTACACAATACCTTCTAATAAATAAAATTCTAACTGGATCAAAGATTTACATTTGAAAAATCATCAAATTATTAGAAAATAATCATGAAATAATTATTATGATCCTAAAGTAAAAGGGGAATTCTTAAAAGACACAGAAATCCCTGAAGTCCAAAAAGAAAAGCTTGCCATATTTGACCACTAAAAATACCTGTCTTTTCTTAGTCAATGTGTATGCGCACACATGTGTGTAACATAACAACAAAGTCAAAAATTTACCATCTATCACACATACAAAAGGGATCATTTCTTCATTATTGGTAAGCTTATTGATGGATAAGTAAAGGAATAAACAGAACATTGGACAAAGAATCGGAACTAGCAGTTCACTAAAAATAAATATGAAAGGCTTAAAAACATACATAGAGCTATTCCTGTGATCTCAAATAAATGTCAATTAGATCATCAGTAAGAAATCATTTGTCATTTAAGAAATGAGCAATGATCCAAAAATCTAGTAGCATTAAATACTGGTTGCTTGCTAGGAGTTTGTTCTAAGGAACACACACACGTATGTACAGGCATGTGAAGGGGTGGATGCTGTTCACAACAGCCAAGACAAGACTGATCTAGCTATCCACCCCAGGTGACTCTCCAAAGAAAAGGTCTTCATTCAGGTAAGTAACCACCATGCACACAAAAGAATGAGCTGGGGCTATATGTGCTGACATTATATTTGGGAATCATATCTTCTATGGAAAATTATTTTTAAAGGAAAAGAAGGGAAAACAGTAAGTAAAGTACAAGCTAACAATTTTTCTGCAAGTCTGTATGAGAAGCTTAACTAGTGGAAAGGGGACCCAAGAAGTGAGGGAAGAACAAGAGGGAGACTATCCATTTCATAACCTTTTATGCTGTTTGACTTTTTACCCTGTACCCCTGTGGCTTCAAAAATAAATTTAATATTTAAAGACAAAAACAATGTGCTCAATCTTTTTTAAAAAAAAAAAAAGAAAGAAAGAAAAAGAAAAGAAAACCCCTGGTAGTGATGTGAAAAATAAATCACATATAGACTTTTGTTAAGACCAAAATATTTACCATATACTCCTGAATGATTTCTTGTTCTTCTATCCTTTTCTGAAGTATTTGAAAATCATTCTTGATGTCTGATTGCTCTTGAAAACCGAATTTTAATGGCCGAATCAGAGCCAACTGAGCTAAATCCCTTTCAGAAATAATCTGTATACCTAAGGAAGAGAGAAATTCATACTTGTAACTTACGTGTATTATGTGAAAGGAGATTTTATTGTTGTTTTCTCTTAAGTAAATACACAGCCACTTAAGGATTAATGGGAGTTTATATTTTCAGAGGTGAAGAGTCTATTTGAAAGGAAGTATCTTTGTTTTGGAAAAATCATGACTATATACCTTAAAATTACACCAAACCCACTGCTCTTGGAGAAAACTGTAAGTGCAATAAATAAAACAGATGCAGCAGACCTAGAAGTGTTCTGATTTATAATGTGAACTGGGTGTCTGTACCGACAGTTATTCCAGGCAAGCATGTACAAGACCTGGGTGGGAGAAACAGAGAACTGTCCCCTCCCTGTGGCCAAGTGTTTGGAAGTCCCTGGAGTCTGAGATGAGAGGATGTGGAGTCCAACACACTTCTTATTAAAATGGATCGAGTGCACAGACATGTGTGTACACACACGTATGCACACACATACAAGAATAATATATGGTATAATCAATAAAACTAAAAAACAGATATATTATAAATACACATAATTGACAGGTATTAAATAGTAGTACACTTATAACAGAAGAGAATACTTTCTATTTAATAGTACATGTGGAATCTCTTTTTAAATGATAATCTTTTAGGTCATGTTGACAGTCTAGATTCCACATATCTGAAATTATACAGATCATGCCCATTAACTAAAATGTAATAAATCTAGAAGTATTAAAATAATATTTTTAAAATTTCAGAATTGTGAAGTAAAATGCTCAAGTGAAACCATTCTCAAAATCTCTATGCAAAGCCAAATATTATCAGCTAAAATTAAGTTAATGCCAGCAAAAAATATACAAGAAGCAATTAAGCAGAACAATAGGCATAAATATAAAAGGTGGAAGTTTCTAAAAGTCTGCACAGCCTTGGGATCTCATCTTGTCTTGGAACACTCATACACTTAAAAGCTTTCTGGAGAGGTGAGAGTGAGGGACTGTTGGTTGGGAGAGACATCCACAGAAATCCTAAAATTTTTCACAAATAGTCTCAGTGTGAGAGGTCTAGGAAGCCCAGAAAGGGAGATGGAATGCCCACAAGAGCAGAAGCCATTTGATCATCCTTGAGTATCTAAGAAAAATACTTAGAGCCTTGCTGGGGAGAAGCTGTGTGAAGGCAGAGGAGAAAGGACAGAAAAGATGGAATGACTTCAATTGACACAGCTGTTGACTCCCCGACACTGATTCCACCCTGGTAATTAATTAAAGCCATTTTTAATCATTCCAAAATAATTCCTTTGCCAGTAAATAATCAGCAATAGGTAGGTGATTTGCACCAATGAGAAGCAAGGAGTTTATTCAGGGCTTACAGGCAAGAGAATCAAGCCTCTGTCCCACCTCCATTCCCTGCCCAGGCATACGCACATAAGCATAAGGCCTACTGTGACCATAAAAGGAATGAGCAGAGTATAGCAAATATGAAAAAATACACATGAAGAATCTATGTTCTTGATGAGCTCACTGAGCAACTCACATAATGAACCTGGAATATTTTCTATCTTTGACCTCCATTACAGGAAAAAACATATTTGTTTATTGTTCATGTCATTTTGAATTTGGTTTCTTTTTATTGTAGCCGGTCCAAAAATTCCAACAAGGTGTATAAGTCAGGTTTCAGCTATAGATAATGGCAATCATTACAGAAAGATATGTTATCTACTAGTTGGTGCTGACAACCTCATTGGGTGGATTCAAAGAGCAGGTGCTTCCCCCATTATGATTCAAAAATAACATAGCAGAATGGTCTGCCAAGAAAAGTGCCACCTTTGCCAGAATGAGGAATCTGAGGAAGCTGGACATCACAGTTCTAACCACTGGCTCCAGATGGCACTACCAGAGCAACCACTGGGAATGCCTTGCCTGCTATGCTGTGCGCCAGCAGCATGGATGCTGCTCCACACATTTCAGTCTCAGCTAAGTGCATATGATTGGTCAAAGCCTCGCTACCAGGATGTCTGAGAAATGTCATTTTTAGTTTTTCTGCCTGAACCATACAGTGAGGTACACTAGGAGGAAGGTGTAGGTGATGTTGTGTAGACTGATCTACAATATATGCCACACAACAATCCAACCACATCCTTTCTCTAACCCTTTACACACTTGTCACTGTCCTCAAGCAAATTCTGGCTCTCATCATATAGTTTATAAAGATAGATTTTAGTTTCAAGTTTTATGGAATGAGAGTCTAGAAGAATTCATTCATGCTCAATTAGAAAAATCAAGTAAGTGTAGAGCTATACATGTTAGTGAACAAGATGAAAATAAAATATGAGATGTGAGGAAAAATGAGTAATGCAATATGGTATGCAAAACTTTTCAATCCATCCTGAATGGAACATAAACTAAATGGTAGCTCTACCATCTTAGGAAGAAATAATAAGAATGTTAATTATCCTATATAATAAAAGCCTAGGTGGCGTCACGCCCTTGAGCAAGATGGCTGCCCTCACATAGTCACAAGATAGCCACCCTCATGTCGTCACAAGATGGCCAGCAGGAGAGGGCAGTTGTGGGCGATCAGGCTAGCAGGTGAAAGCAGTTATGAGTGAACAGGCCAGCAGGAGAGGGCAGTTGAGAGCAACCAGGCCTGAAGGGGAGGGCAGTTGGGGGTGATAAGGCTGGCAGGGGAGCAGTTAGGCAACAATCAAGCCAGCAAGGGAGCAGTTAGGGAGCAATCAGACGGGCGGGCAGGTGAGTGATTAGGAGCCAGCAGTCCCGGATTGTGAGAAGGATGCCCAACTGCCGGGATGTCCTGCAGGGATCGGGCCTAACCCGGCAGTCGGACATCCCCCGAGGGGTCCCAGATTGGAGAGGGTGCAGGCCGGGCTAAGGGACCCCCCCCCCCGTGCACGAATTTCATGCACCGGGCCTCCAGTTTTAAATAACAGGACAAAATGAGATGAAACAAGAGAATGAGGTGAAAAATAAATTAGATGTCAAAAGCACATGATTATAGAACTAAGAATTAATCAAACACTGCAATAAATATGGTATATAGTTAAAATTAACTTGTTTATAGGACAAAGACAGGTGTACATAAATTAATAAAAATAAGAAAAGGGGAAAAACAAAAGATAATGCATGTAATGACCTCACCAGAAGCTCAGGAGAAAACCTGGAGACAAGACAAAGAACTCAATAAGTCCTCTCTCCGGTGCAAGCTTGTATAGTGGAGCAGCCACTTCTGCAGGAAAGGCATAAAGCCCTACCCAGGTACTTTCCCCCTATAGTCCCTAGGGATCCAAAGCATAAGACAATGGGAAAAGGGCAGCAAACCCTATTAGCCTCAAAGCATAGGTTGACCCCCTACATTGGGGTTAGAGAAGGTAGGAAAGCATCTTGGGCTCAGACAGTAACACCTCCCCCAAACCTGAAGAAAGGGCAGAATAACTGAGAAGGCACCATGCCAGGCATGCCCCGAATAAGGCTGAACAAGGACAACAGAGAATGCCAATCCCATCTCCAACCAAATGTGCACGCAACAGAATTACAACAAGAGCACTCTATTGCTAAGGAGTGGACCAGATCCTAGATAGGAACCTTCTCTTAGGTGCAGGTACAATGGGGAGACCTAAAGTAAAGGGTAGAACAGACATTAAGGTAAACCAGCAATTCTCAATCTGTGGGTCGTGACCCCTTTGGCGGTCGAACAACCCTTTCACAGGGGTCGCCTAAGACCATCCTGCGTATCAGATTTTTACATTATGATTCATAACAGTAGCAACATTACAGTTATGAAGTAGCAACGAAAATAATTTTATGGTTGGGTCACAACATGAGGAACTGTATTTAAAGGGCCAGAAGGTTGAGAACCACTGAGGTAAACCCTCTGGCATGCCATTTTCCACAAGGTAATGGCACCAGTAAAACTGGTGGTGTCACTGAGCCCAACAGAATGTGAATGTTGTAGTGCTTTTATCCATAATTGCCAAAACCTGAAATCAACCCAAATGTCCTTCAACTGGTGAATGGCTAATAAAACTGGTGTAGTCATGGAGTGGAATGGTATTTAGCAGAGAAAAAAAGTAAATTCTGATAAATGCAAAGGCATGGATGAATATCAACAATACTATGCAAAGTGAAAGAAAGTAGACTCAAAAGGCAACATATATGCATGCTTCCTTGATATGACTCTGAAAGAAACAAAAGGAAACAGAATGAGAGCATTGCTGGCTGCGGGTGCTGGTGGCCAGCTGCGGAGAGCACAGAGACCTGCGGGCAAGAACAGCCTCTGTCTGTGTGGTGGCAGACCTTGGTCCAACCTCAGAGAACTGAGTGCCAACAGGTGAATTTCACTCTATGTAAACTAGTTTTCAATATTTTAAAACTATTTTCCTATAAACTATTTTTGTGAGACTTGTGTTTTAATAATTGCAGTGTGATGTTGCCTTAATTAGATTTGACATTTTTAAATTAAAAAGTCATTAGAGAAGGTAATCTGGCACTTGATGGGAGGTTGAAATGAGTGATCTATAAACTCCTCTCAAACTCCAAAGTATGCATGTGACCCTGTAACTTCACACACAAAAGTTTTATCTATGTATAATGATTCATGGTTTTATGTAGGTTTATATTATATATATATACTTAAATATATATATAAAGAAAATACTTGGAATATTCTTCAGTATTATTATTTTATTATACATGCTTATATTTTCTTTATTCTCCACAATATGTGATTATGTGTAATCCAAAATTATTATTTTATTTACAAAGTACATACTATGCAACAAATTAACATTAGGTGGATGAGGAAGGTCATATTCAAGTCTATACAAATCTATAATTGCTAGTTTAAGAAAATATAAAATAGCTCATTTTAATATCATGTTTTATATATTAAAATATTTAAAGAAAGAATAGAAATTCGCCCTTATGAATGTGGAGTGTGCAGCACGAAAATCCCCCAAAATATGTTTCCCATTTTAAAAGGTCTGCCTAGCTCTCTCCTGCATTTGTGTTAGAAAAGCCTTTGTGCACGGCGCTGAAACCAGCCTGCTCAAGAACCTGCAACAGAACAGGGCGCAGTCATACCGTGCCCAGTCGGGGGTACAGCTTGAGACGGCCCTGCAAGCTCATCATCGCTGATCCACTTGTCTCTGAGGTAGGCGTCATCGGCTGTCCACATATCGTGTTCATTCTCACTAGAAAATAAATCACATATTTGTTCATGGTATCAAAGAACTTATGCATTTAAGAATCTCTGATAATCTACAGTAATTATTAATTGACATTCACCGGCACTTCTGTTCCACCACCTAATTCCATTGTCAGCACCTGGAGCTGGCCCACTTCCAAAGAGAATTCCGAAATCCCAATGTCTGATCACAAATTCCATCTCCTCCAACTTTTACCTGGCTTGCAAACCAGCCGCCTCGCATCTATCCACCTCCCACCTGCTTTCCTCCTTTCCCTAGGCTGTGGGAGGACAGCACTAGGGCCACTCGGCTTTCTCATATCAACAGAGAGCCCTTTGGAAAACCCTGGTATATCACTGGTTTTCTCTACCATTCCTCCACTGCAGCTAATCCTGAACTACCACCTGCATGTAGTTCTGATCTTGACCCTCTGCTGTAGTAAAAATGCAGCCACTTCTAGAAAATGCAGGCCAGAAAACCAGAACTCTTTCAAATTACTTTTAAAATGTGTACTTAGATGCATCAACATTCTTCATTACTCCTTCCTTTCTTCCTGTTCAACAGTCATCCTTCCACATTCTCAACTACAATGCCTTCTGTCTCATGAGACGTTTTTCTAAAATTTCATATATATATATATGTTTTATATATATAAAATCTCTCCCTACCTACAAATTCTTTAATATTATAAGGATACTTGATTCACCCTCATTGTAAAGATAGAAAACCCTTCAAAGGTTCTATCTCAATCTAACTACTGCTCTATTTCTAACAGACTTTGCAAATACAAATCCACACTCATTTCCATTTGCTTCCCAACTTCTCACTGTGACTCAGTTTCTTCTCTTGTGCTATCTGCTTGGCTCCTGCTGTACTTACACTTACAACTCACTTAACAGAAGCCTCCTATTATTTGACTTCTGGGTCTAATCTTTAATGTCCAGAAAAAAATTCCCACTAAAATTTAATTATACCTGTCTACCAACTTCAGAATAAACAAAGGCTCCTTCCTGGACACTTAACTTTAGCATGTTGGCAATGTGGTCCCTGTCTCCTCTTTTCTTTTTTTAAAATTAAGTTATTTATTTATCTTTTTATTCTTTATCGTTGAAGGCATTGCATATGTCCCTGTTTTCCCCCATTGACCTCTCCCAGCCTGCCCACACCCCACAGCCCAGGTCTCCATCCCCCTATTGTCTATGCCCACTGGTTATGCATATATGCATACAAGTTCATTAGTTGATCTCTTCCCAACCACCCACCCTCCCCTCTGAGGCATTCCCTCTGAGGTTTGACAGTCTGTCAATGCTTCTATGTCTCTGGATCTATTTTTGTTCATCAGTTTACATTTTTCATTACTGTATATCCTACACTAGAGGCCTGGTGAACAAATTCATGCACCAGTGGGGTCCCTCGGCCTGGCCTGCAGGATCAGGCCAAAACTGGCTAACATCCCCCCAGGGGTCCCAGATTGCAAGAGGGTGCAGACCAAGCCGAGGGATCCCATCGGTGCACAACTGGAGCCGGGGAGGGGTGCGGGAGGTTGGCCAGCCGGGGAGGGACCATGGGAGGGGTCCAGGGCATGTCTGGCCCATCTCGCTCAGTCCCAATCGGCTGGACCCCAGCAGTAAGTTAACCTACTAGTTGAAGCATCTGCCCCTTGGTGGTCAGTGCACAGCATAGTGACTTGTTGACTGGTCAACTGTCTGCCCCTGGTTGTCATTGCACATCATAGCGAGCAGTTGAGCAGCCTTACCATATTACGCTTTGATTGAACGGAGGATCAGACGGACACTTAGCATATTAGGCATTTATTATAGGATATGAATGAGATCATGTTTATCTTTCTCCAACTGGCTATTTCGCATAGCATAATGCTCTCCAGTTCCATCCACACTGTTGCAAATGGTAAAAGTTCCTTATTTTCTTTTTGTAGCATAGTATTCCATTGTGTAGATGTACCACTGTTTTTTAATACATTCATCTGCTGATGGGCACTTAGGCTGTTTCCAAAATCTTAGCTATTGTAAATTGTGCTGCTATGAACATAGGGTTGCATATATTCTTTCTGATTGGTGTTTCTGATTTCCTGGGATATATTCCTAGAAGTGGGGTCACTGGGTCAAACTATCCTTCATGACAGTCAAATGGGAGTTCCATTTTTAATTTTTTGAGGACACGCCATACTGTTTTCCACAGTGGCTGCACCAGTCTGCCTTCCCACCAGCAGTGCACAAGGGTTCCTTTTCTCCACATCTTTGCCAACATTTGTAATTTGTTGATTTGTTGATGACAGCCATTCTAACAGGTATGAGGTAGCACCTCATTGTTGTTTTGATTTGCATCTCTTGGATGATTAGTGATTTTGAGCATGTTTTCATATGTCTCTTAGCCTTCTGTATGTCCACTTTCAAAAAGTGTCTATTTAGGTCCTTTGCCCATTTTTTGATTGGATTGTTTATCTTCCTTTCATTAAATTGTATGAGTTCCCTATAAATTTTGGAGATTAACCCCTTATCAGATGATCACTGGCAAATATGTTCTCTCATGCAGTGGGCTTTCTTGTTGTTTTGTTGATGGTTTCTATTGCTGTACAGAAGCTTTTTATTTTGATGTAGTCCCATTTGTTTATTTTCTCCTTAATTTCCATTGTCCTAGGAGACGTATTGGTAAATATATCACTACCAGAGATGTCTGACATTTTGCTGCCTATGGATTCTTTTAAGATTTCTATGGTTACATGTCTTAGATTTAAATATTTTATCCATTTTGAGTTTATTTTTGTGTATGGTGTAAGTTGGTGGTCCAGTTTCTTTTTTTTTTTTTTTGCATTATCTGCTAATTTCCCAATACGATTTATTGAAGAGACTGTCTTTCCTCTATTGTATGCTCTTGTCTCCTTTGTCAAAAATGAATTGAGCATAATGGCTTGGGTTGATTTCTGGGTTCTCTGTTCTGTTCCATTGGTCCATATGCCTGTTCTTGTGATAGTACCAGGCTGTTTTGAGTACAGTGGCTCTGTAGTATAACTTGATATCTGGTATTGCAATCCTCCAACTTTATTCTTTTTTCTCAAGATAACTACAGCTATTTGGGGTCTTTTTTTATTCCATATAAGTTTTTGGATAGTTTTTTTTTCTAGGTCTGTGAAATATGCCGTTGGTATTTTAATAGGGATTGCATTGAATCTGTAGATTGCCTTGGGTAGTATGGATATTTTAATGACGTTGATTTTACCAATCCATGAACATGGTATATTCTTCCACTTGTTTATATCTTCCTCTATTTCTTTTTTCAACATCCTGTAGTTTTTGGAGTAAAGGTCTTTTACCTCCTTGGTTAAGTTTATTCCTTATTTTTTTTGTTGTAGTGGAAAATGGGATTGTTTTCTTAGTTTCTCTTTCTGTCAGTTCATTGTTGGTGTATAAAAATGCCATAGATTTCTGGTTGTTAAATTTGTATCCTGCTGTTGTCAAACTCGCTTATTAAATCTAGTCATTTTTTATGGAGTCTTTTATTTGTAAATAATGTACCATACTTGCATCTCTGGAATAAATCCCACTTGGTCATGGTGTATTTTTTTAATATATTGCTGGATTTGCTAATATTTTGTTGAGAATTTTAGGATCTATGTTCAGCAAAAATATTGGCCTGTAATGCTCTTCTTTATAGTGTCTTTATCTGGTTTTGGAATTAGAGTAATGCTGGCCTCATAAAAAGAGCTTGGATGTGTTCCTTCCTCTTGGATTTTATAGAATAGTTTGGAGAGTATAGGTGTTAGTTCTTTGAATGTTGGGTAAAACTCTCCTGTGAAGCCATCTGGATCAGGGCGTATTTTTGCTGGAATTTTTTTTTTTTTATCACTGCTTCAGTTTCATCAGCAGTTATCTGCCTATTCAGGTTTTCTGATTCTTTCTGATTGAGTTTTAGAAGATTGTATTTTTCTAGGAATATGTCTATTTTGTAAAGGTTGTCCAGTTTGTTGCAATAGAGTTGTTCATAGTATTTTTTATGACTCTGTATTGCTGTGTAGTCAGTTGTTACTTGACCTCTTTTGTTTCTGATTTTATTTATTTGGGTCCTTTCTCTTTGTTTCTTATTGAGTCTAGCTAGAAGTTCATCAATCTTGTTTATGCTTTCAAAGAACCATCTCTTGGTTTTATTGTTCTTTTGTATTGTTTTCTTTGGTCTCTATGTCATTTATTTATGCTCTGACCTTTCTTATTTCTTTCCTTCTACTTACTCTGGGCTTTTATTGTTTCTCTCTTTCTAATTCTTTAAGTTGTTGGGTTAGTAACTTATTACAGCTTTTTCTTGTTTTTTGAGGTAGCCCTGTAGTGATATTAACATCCTTCTCAGGATTGCTTTCACTGTGTCCCATAGATTTTGGATTGTTGTGTTTTCATTGTCATTTGTTTCCAGTATGTTTTTTTGCTTCTTCTTTTATCTCTTTGGTAACCCAGTCATTGTTTAATAGCATGCTGTTTAGCCTTCATGTGTTTGATTTTTTTGAATGTTTTTATTGTAGTTTATATCTAATTTTATGGCATTGTGATCTAGAAGATGGTTGATATGATTTCAATCTTCTTGAATTTGTAGAGACTTAGCCTGTGTCCTAACATGTGGTCTACCTTTGAAAATGTCTCATGTGCACTTGAGAAAAATGTATATTCCGTAGCTTTGGGGTGAAATGTTCTGAAGATGTCAATTACTTCCATCTGATCTAGTGTGTGATTTAGGATTTCTGTTTCCTTATTGATATTTTGTCTAGAAGATTTATCCAGTGATGTCAATGGGGTATTAAAGTCTCCTACTATGATTGCATTGCTATATCTCCCTTGATAACTTCCTGAAGTCTTTTAATGTATTTGGATGCTCCTGTATTGGGTACATATATGTTTGCCAGAGTTATAGCCTCTTATCGTATTGATTCCTTTAGTATTATGAAGTGGTCATCATTATCTCTTGTTATGGCCTTCATTTTGAGGTC